AGACAATCCCACACCAGTTTGGAATTATGATTAATAGAATGGTTATTTATTCAAAGGGGAAAAAACTTACAGATTACCGTCCCAGACAACAGCCCCTCCGCGCGAACAGGAAAGGAGTCCAGGGGCCGGAAACGGAGCCGGAAGACAAAGACAGAGTGGAGGACAGCCGCTGCTTTTTTTAAAGGGAGAGAGACCACGCCCCAATGGGCTGGTAACTCAGCGGCGATTGGCTGAAGGAGCTGAAGGAACTCCCACAGCACTTAGCTACAAATGAGAACAAACCTAACACAGCCAGCAAGGGATCCAAAGTTGGAAAAGCAACAACACCCCAGCATAACCACACTATATTTGTTAACACTAAGACAGAGGCAAAATGGGATTTCAGAAGAGATAAATGTCCATTTTAAATAAATAATTTATTTTTAACTATGAGTATCTGTGTATGTGTATATACATGAGTGCAATGCCCAAAGAGGCCAGAAGAAGGCACAGGATCTCCAGATTAGGAATCAGATGCAGTTACAAGATGTCACAGGTATGCTGGGAAGTGAATTTCAGTCCTCTACAAGAGCAATAAGAGTCATCTCTGCAGTCTGGAAATAAATATTCTTAACAAGTATGAATTAAGTCACTAGGAGGTTCATTTAAGCTGTATCATTTTTATAACCAACCTTCAGCACTCTGAAAGTCCATTGTGGCTCAAGACGTAAACAATGGCAAGCCATCCTGACGAACACATGGGGAGTCATGGCTCCACAGTGGGAATCTCTGTTCATTAAAGTAAGTAAAACACAGAAGCATTAGCTGTGAATGCTTTAAAGAATCAAGAATGTGATTCACCTTTTGTTGCTGGTGTGTGCACAAACTGGACTGGACTAGAAACTTGCTTATCTACCAGTTTCAGACATCACTAATTCCACAGGTATCTGCTGGACACTCACTAAGGCACCTACAACAGGTGCCTGGAAATGCACAGGGAACAGAAGAACAGCGACAGACAGCAAATAGCAGGCACAGTGCACGAGGCAAAGGCATTTCCGGTGACAGGGATGGGGATAAAATGACATTGGGCAGTGGCGAGGGGCATCAGGAACACCGCCACGGTGGTGAGGGAGGACATGCAGTTCTTACATGGGTGGCTAGGGTGTGGGGAGGGGCATCAGGAACGCCACCACTGGGTGACCAGGGTGCGCCCTCTCACACAGGCAACATGCGAAAAGAGACTTGTTAGTATTTTGTATGATTTTACTGTTTCCTTTTTAATTATTTATATATGTATATGTCTCAATCCTATAGATCATATTGGCCTTCAATTAGTGAACTCCTGCCTCAGCTTTTGGGAAAGAGCTAGGATTATAGTCTGGGCCTGATGCATCATTAACACTTTGCTAAAATCTACTAAATGGTGCCAGATACACCATTAATTCCAGCACTCAGGAGGCAGAGGCAGACAGATCTCTGAGTCTGAGACCAGCCTGGTCTACAGAGAGAGTTCCAGGACAGCCAAAGCTATGCAGTAAGATTGTGTCCCAAAATGAATTATTAATTGACTAATTAATTAATTTCACTGAATAGATGATGACCAAAGTTTAATTTATTTGTTATAATTCTTTTCTTCTGAGAGCATTGTGTATTTATACACTTTAGGGTCAAATGAAAGAACTAATATTTGAGTGTGAAGAACCGGGACACTCAAATGTGTGAGTGAGCTATGGGGCCATCGGAGACCGCAGACAGTAGGGCCACAGACAGTAAAATCCAGGCAACAGGAAGGTACAGGGAAAGCTGCTTCCCCACCACCATACAGACTGCCCCAAATAAACACATCTCTTAGTCTGCCCCTTCTCAAAGTCCAGGGGGAAGGACTGGAGTAATGTGGCTGAGAGGGAGGTGGGATGAGGCGGAAAGTGAACTTTCAGTAACATGGATGGCATCCGCGAGGTCAACATCAGTGACAGATGCTAAGTGCGATTAAAGCAACACAAAGGCCCAATCACAGGGGGAGGCAGATATGCTCTCATCTCACATCCGCAGCTTCATAACTGTGTGGTCCAACAAAAGTCCATCAAATGCCCAGAGTCCTGGCTCCTCACCTAAAGCACCAGTTGTCGTATCTGAGGCTCCACAGATTCCTCCAAGAGCTGAGTGAGATTCTGCACAGGACAGTGCTCTGACGTTGTCAAAGCAATCCGTTGTTCGCATACATGCATTCTTACTGCTATCTGACAGCCCACAGCAAATCTCTGCGGTAGATTTAACAAGAAATGTGCCATAAATTCTGACCCAGAACTCAAGGGTGGGGATAAAAGGGAAGTCCAAAACTCACAGAGGACAGAAGTCTTGTCGATCTACAAGTGACAAAGAACTGAACAAACTCACTGGTCTACACAGTCACACCCCAACTATTTAATGAGAGTCTTAAGTATGGCTGTGCTGTGCACAATCAGTTACAAATCCCATCACTAGAGTAAAAGTCTTGCCAATTGTCCATCATTACTCACCTGTGCAGGGAGAATTTTCCAGAAGGCCTTGCTTCTGTTGGCCTTCACTATCTATTACTACCTACCTCTTTGGAAGGATAGGAGGCAAACTGTAATGGCTAGAAATATCCTGAATCATCTGTGAATGCATCATCATCTTCAGAGAAAGATCTGAGATAAAGAAAAGCTGTGGAAAGGGACAGATGGGGGGGGTGAGGAAAGGAGAAGACCCAGCTCTCCGGAAACAGAAGCAAGTTTCAACATGAAACTCAAAGACTAAACGCTGGAGAGATGGCGCAAGGATCAGGAACACTTCCTGCTCTTGCAGAGGACATGGTTTGGTTCCCAGCACTCACATGGTAGCTCATAACCCCCCTCCAGTTCCGGGGAGACCAATGTCTACTTCTGTCCACTGTGGGTCCCTCACAAGTACAACTTTTTACAATTAAATGCAAGACTAGCTCTCTGAAAAATAACCTAACCCCAACAATTACTGAAAGGAGTGGATTCCAACCATGTTTGACATCTGACTAGGATAATCTGAATTTAATCCAAAGAAAGGTTTCATGATTGTGGTTATAGAAGATGGTTATAGAAGAAATACGTAAAGCCTAATCGATTGTATTTTATCAATAAAGGAAGGCTGTATGAAATGGAAAGGGCTTGCTTAAGCAAGATCCATAGCACAGACATGAGAGGGACAAAGAGAAACAATAGGTTCCCCCGCCGTCCACAGAGAGTGACATGAACTAGTAGACTAGAAAATTAGCTCATTTAGCAGAGATAATTTTCATATTATCTGTACAAATGAATGGTCAGAGAACCATTCCAATGGCTTCAGGATCAGAGAGCAACACAACATCATTGGCAGTAGCCCCCAGTGAGGATCCCCAGAAAGAATAAGGGCCATGACTGTCTAATGCACTGGTTCTCAAACTTCCTAATGTTGTGACCCTTTAATACAGTTCATCATGTTGTGGTGACCCAGCCATAAAATTATTTTGTTGCTACTTCATAACTGTAATCATGAATACCATCATGAATCATAATATAAATATTTCTGGAGATAGAGCTTTGCCAGAGGGTTTGCCACCCACAGTGAAAACCACTGATCAAAACTAAAGGAGACTGCCAAGAGACATCAATATGTTTGTATTTGATTATCCCGCACCATCATGCAGATTTCAGCCTTTACCACCATGGCCTGGAACTGCCTGGGTTTACTGAAACCCATGACTCTAGAAAGTAAGGACCAAGTCTTGACAGGTCATGGAGGTGGGGCAGATCCAACCATCAGCAGGCCTTCCAAGTGTCATCTTCTAACCTGATCCTGAAATACTGAGGGGCCGAGGAAATGACCCGGTGTGTACAGTGCTGGTATGCCTCAGAAGAAAGAGGACCTGGATTCAGATTCCCAGAACTCGTGTACAAAGCCAGGCATAGCAGTGTATGCTTTCATCCCCACCACCGTGAACGAACAGGCAGTCCTGGGTGCCCACTGCCAGCCATTCTTGCTGAAATGATGAACTTCAGGCTTAGACAGAGACTCTCTTAAAAATCAAGGCGGAGAAGCCATTAAGATAGACAACTCCCTGCTGACCTTCAGTGACCTCTAGTTTCCACACTCAAGCACAAATAAGTGCATATACACACATACATGTGAACACACATATACACCACACAAGCATGAAAATTAAGTAATAATATTAATAATAGAAGAATTATTGAACCAAGAAAAGTACACCAAATAAGAGAAAATCATCTTGATTTCCAATACCAGTAGCCACACCACTTGGAGCAGTGTCAGCCTAAATAATCCTTGGTTTACGGAACCTTTTAAAGGATTTCTTTATGTGTTTGTGTATGTATCTTCATGTTAGTATGTACACAGGTGAGAAGATACCCTTGGATGCTTTAGGAATTCCTACCATCTTTAAATTACCCACCCACTTGGGCATGGCCTCTTATACTATATATGCTGATGTAAAATGCGCATTTGGCCTCTTTTCCGGATTTGGGATATGGTTGCTGTTCTCCATTCCAGCGGAGGATTGTGATCTGTGAGTCTATCCCTAAATAAATAACCCTCTATTATACTCAATTCTGAGCTAGTGTGGGATTTCTTTTAAGCGTCTTTCTTCACTTGGAGACCAGAAAAGTATATTAGATCCACGGAGCTAGAGTTATAGGAGGTTGTGAGTTGCCATGTAGGGGCTGAGGACTGATCTCTGGTCTCTGCAAATACAGAACGATTTCTTAACCATTGAGTCACCTCTCCAGCCCATACTGGAACTTTTAAAATGAGACTAAGAATAGTTATTCTGTCTGTGTTTCTGGTTTACTTCGAGTCTCACCATCTGAGTGAAACAGCTCTTGATAGGAATAATTAATGCTATCACTATTTCAAGCCCTGAAGTCAGAATTATGATTGATACATGCAAGCAAATTACCACAATTACCTGAGGACTGAAGCCAAGAAGAAAAGCCAGGAAACCACTAACAGAGTCTGGGAAATCTTACCTCTGGGCGACTGGTTTGGCAATGATTTCAAAAATGATCTCTTGCTTTGCATCTTGGTCAAAAATCCTTTGAAATCTGCAATGTGAAAATGATAATTATCTCAAAGCCGAGCCTTCAAACGCTATTGGATTAACGAATGTTGTTTTCATAAACACGTTTGTAAATGACCCTACGCTGACATCACCAGGCTTAGCTAACCTAACACAATGTTTGCCCTGTCATCCCCCCACACTGTGCCATTGTATTCTTGTTCAAAAATGGTGAGTAAACAATATGGCTTTGACAAAGATCTGCACAATTATTCCCCTCTGAAAAAAGTGTACCAGCTTTGAATCGCATAATAAACTGTGTGTTTTTAGCTCTCAAGAAGGACAGTGCAGCAGGCTTTCTCGGACCACCAGCCCCTTAATCATGAGATGCTCTGCCTTAGTTTATGCTTGCTTCTAGCTCACTCTTACAACTTTGATTTAACCTGCTTCTCATCATCTGTGTTTTGCCTTGGGACTTTTTAGCTTTTCATTCTCTATGTCCTACTTTTCTGCTTCTTTCGTGCCAGGTCATCTGGCTGGCCCTGGGTTTCTCCCTCTCTTTCTCCCTTCAGCCTGCATTTGAAATGAGCAAATGGTGACCGATACACTGACAGTCTAAGGCAGTGTTCTCAACCTTCCTAACACTGCCACCCCTTAAACACGCTGCTGTGACCCCAACCGTAAAATGATTTTGTTGCTACTTTATAACTGTAATTTTGCTACAGTTAGGAATCATAACATAAATATATGTGTTTTCCAATGGTCTTAGGTGACCTCTGTGAAAGGGTCATTCAACCCCACGAGGTCATGATCCACACGCTGACTTGGGAGGCGACAGCAGATATGAGGTGTTGGTGTACCTGGATCAGCCCTTGGCACCATACAGGTAAACCACCGTCTTCGACCTGAACACCAGCATGGCACAGGCTTTCACAGAACGCACGGCCACCATGCACGAGTGTGGTCTAAGGAGCACGGTTGACTCGAGCTGTGCTGATGGGGGACTACAGACTTCCAGCAGGGTCTATGGGACGCTGCCTAGGAATGGGGCCTGGTGGCTTCTTTCTCCTGGTTGCTGGTGACCTTGAGGCAATAGCACACTCCCCACACCACTTCCCCACTCCCCACCAGGAATTACATCTATTGCTGCAACATCAAAAGGTGCCAGGAGCTTTCGGGAGGGCACTGAGTCACCCACAGAATACATTCTGAAAGTTAATATGATCAGCTTATCTACCGGCTTATCTATTTCACAAATATCCATTAAGTGCTTCCCACATGTTAGGCACTCTACCAATGTTGTAATTAGACTGAAATATAATTTTAGAACAATACCCATAAAGTATACAGAATTCCTTGTGCGGGCATGATATCCTCTGGTTAGAGAGATGGCTTGGTCATTACGGTTACGAGGCTGAGAGCACTTATTCTTACAGGGAACCCAAGTTCAGCTTCCAGCACCACAGAGGGTAGCTTACGCCAGGGAACCCAGCGCCCTCTTCCAGCCTTCATGGGCACCTGCACATACATACACATATACCTAATTTTTTAAAAAAAAATTTAAAGGACATTTACACCCATCAAATCATTCTAAAATGTTATCTTCTGATCTTTAAGAGAATTGTGGAACAAGAAACAATCGAGATATTTCTATTATCTCCCTCCTTCAGAATGAAGACTTCAGGATCAAAGTTTACAGTTAACTGGTAATTGCATATTGAGCATCAAATACCACCATCTCCAAAAATTCCATTTTCACAACAGAGCTATGTTACAATCTGGGAAGCAACTTGGACCAGATGGCTTCTGAAGAACAGGAGAGAATCCCAGAATTCAGAAAAGCTGTACGAAGTTCAGTCCAATCTCTTATGGATATAAAAAGGTCCCCATGCCCATCAATAACATGCTGAGAAAGAACATGGGATTCTCAATGACCAACATGTCCTTTCATTCAGTGAGGATGTTGTGTGGGCTTTCTCTACAGCCCATTTCAACTGCACACAGACTAGTCTTTCCATTTGAAGCCTTTATTGAAATCTTCCTCACCCCACAAGATGACAGCTCCATCCTTCTAAAAGTTCAGTCTCAAACTCTCTAGCTTCCTTGACCCCGCTCTTTCTGTTTAACTGTATAATGAGTTCACTGGCAGACACTGGCAACTCCGACCTCCAAATGTCCAGAATCCAATTAGAGGCAAGCCTCGACATCCTCAGACCCAAATCTGCAATTGTGCGTAGCTCTTACATCATATAACAGCATTTGCACAGAGTTCATGTACCTCTCTCCATATTCCCTGCAGACTGCTCATGACACTCACTACAGTGCAAATGCCAGGTGACTAGCTGTGTACACTACTGTTTGTGGAGGGTGGACAGAAGACTCTGTGTGCTCAGTACTTAATCCTCTTCAGTACCTAGGCTGGTCAGATCCCCGGACTTCTCTCAGCACCGCACTTCCCACCAAGGATGGGACACCACAGCTGCTTCACTCATCTTCCATGCCCTGTTACAGGACGTGCTGTGTAGGTCAGCGAGTGCCATCCTACTGCAAGGTCAGCAAGGACCATCCTACGGCGACCAGGGTGTGGTGACTCCATCCTCCTCAGCATCACCCTCTTCCTGCCCACGCCACTTGAGGTGACAGCTCCAGTCACTTATAAGGTCCTATATAATTTGGCTTCTCCCTGCCCTTTGAGCTTCCTTCTTCCCATCTGTCCCTTGCTTGCTCTGTAAGCCTCATGGTCCCCTTCCCTTCCGCAAACACTCATGCACTCTTCCAGCTTAGGACTTTGTTCTTCCTGCTCCCGTGCCATGGACCTCTCATCTCTCAGGCTGGCAGTGAAGAATGCCCAAGGTGGATGGCAGGGACAGTCACATGAACCATATGGTTAAGCACTGCCCAAGAGAAATACAGAACCATCCATATATGTTATTTAAAGTGTTCCAACTGCAGTTTTTAAAAAAAAGAGAAATAAGAAAAGAAGAATCCTGGAAAATTAAATATAATAATGCATTTAACCCAATAGATCCAAATTTTTGTCACTATGATATAGGATCAATATGAAAAGGTTCCTAAGATATTTTATATTCTCTGTATTTTTTCACATTGAATCTTCCAAATAAACGAATACCTCACAGAGTACCTCCTTTCAGGATAGACATGATTCTAATGGATGCTCCACAGGACATCACAGGTATTGAATATGGACATGTGCACCTCAGACCTGTGTACCATTTATATTACAAACAAAGCCAACCTAAGAAACACACGGACTAGACCACAACATCTCCCCTGTAATGACTTCATGCAGCTCCATAACGAGCAAAGCAGGAAAATCCTAACACTACAGTGAAATCTGAGGCTGTAATCATGTCACTACTTTATTATCTACGTGTGTGTGCTCATATGTGTGCACACTTGTGTAAGGTGAGGTGCACGTGCTCACAATATATGTGTGGAGGTCGGAGGACAAGTTCACACGTCCATACTCAGGGTACATTCCAACTGCTGTTTGTGAATCGAGTTCTCACTGGCCTGCAACTTTGCCCAGCGCACATTTGTGGCATATAGGGCTCCACCTCTCTCTGCCACCCATCTTGCCCTGACTGGAATCCTAGGGGTGCAAAACTCTGCCCAGCTTTCACATGGGATCTAGGGATATGAACTCAGGTCCTTGGGCTGGGAAAGCAAGCACTTTATGGACAGAGCCATCTCTCCATCCCTGAAATAAAATCTCAAACACAGAAACCTACCTTTTAATTTTGGGCACAGTAATTAATTTGAGTTCTATATGCCAGATGAGATGGCCATATCACACTTGCCACAGAAACAGGGCTGATGATTTTGGCAACAGAAACTGACACAGGACAAGAATTTGCCCAGTAACGAAACAGAAACAAAGAGGAGGAACAAGGCTTACTTAAACTTGTAGCTTTCCCGCTTGTTGTTCACAAATCCATCAGCCAGATCTCGCGGTAAAAGAATTTCCAAGCTCGGTGTTGATTTCTCATCTTCATCTATAGAATAAATCTGCAAACACAAGAACAATAGGTGGCTATAAATGGTAAAATTCCAGCATGACCTCTGACCTGAATATGATTAGCATTGTAATGGTACAAAACTGTGCTTTCGTGACAAGATATCATAGCACAGTGTAATGTGTAAATTTTTCTTTGAACTGTTAGTGGGTTCAAACAAATACATAGAAAAAAACAAGAGTTAAAACCTAAAGTGATGCTTACATTAGTGACTTTCTGTGACTGTGATAAAACGCCATGACCAAAGCAACATATGCAGGGCAGAGTTTACAAGTTTTGGCTTGTGGACCCTGTGGGAGAGTCTATAAAGGCAGGGGAAGGCATGCCAGCAGGAGCCACAGGAAGCCAAGAGACCACATCTTCAAACACAAACACGAGACAAATAGAATGAACTGGGAGCAGGTGAGGCTCTAAGTCCACAAAGTCCATCCCTGTGATATAAGCCCTCCAGTTTCTGAAGGTGACATCACTTCCTCAAACAGTGCCACCAGCAAGGAGAAAGCCTTCAACTATCTGAGTCTATGGGGGACATCCTCATTCAAACCACCACCACGTTGTTTCAAGGTTCTGATCACTTTTGGATGATGTAATATCCAAATCTGATTTGTAAATACATCCCTGTTGTTGAGGAAACCCTTGAAATCCTTATGCTAGATACTGCTTCCCCATTCTAGGGAAGAAGTTCGCATTCTTGCTACAGTCCAGAAGCATTTCTGAGCACGTGCGAACCGGACATAGTCATGACAGTGATGTCTGAACTTTGTCAGAGGGTAAACAGGGGTATCCAATTTTGAGTTATATCCCCCAAAATCCCAAGTTGCAGGAGTTTTGATGAGTTGTGTGGTTTGAAAAGATGTGTGTGCATGTCTTTGACGTCTGCGGTTTGGAAGGATGCGGGTGCATGCCTTTGACATCTGCGGTTTGGAAGGATGTGTGTGCATGTCTTTGACGTCTGCGGTTTGGAAGGATGCGTGTGCATGTCTTTGACATCTGCGGTTTGGAAGGATGCGTGTGCATGTCTTTGACATCTTGTGTTTCCATCACAGCACAGACACTACTTACTAAGTGACCTGGGAGAAATCACTTCCACTTTCCAAGCTGAGGTGGAAATAGAGCCCTAAAACCCTGACAATGGTACCATTTTCTAATTCCTTACTCTTTTATTTCTTAGCCAGGAAAATCAACACCCTGCGATTTAACGTCTACATGCTGAACCCAATCACCAGGTGTGAGCCCAGTCGCTGCTCTCAGAATCAAAGGCCCTTCTATATAAAGTGTGGGAGCAAAGCCTCCAGGCTCCCTGCAGAGTGCTTGGGGGCGGAGTGATGACGCAATGCAAATGGAAGTATTTTGTAACGCACCATAAAAAGAAGATTTAAAAAAGACTTCTTGTCTTTCACCAGGAAATAAACTACTTTCTTACAAGCAGAACTTCCTGTTTAAGGAAGACTCATTTAGAAGCATGATTAGAGGGTAAGAGTCACATTCTTACCCAAGGAAAACCTAAGTTTACAGAAAGTATGAATAATGTCCAAAGCAGATTCTCTTTTAAATTTGAGACAGGGTCTCACCACTATGTAACCCTGACTGGCTTGAATCTTACTATGTTGACCCAGCTGGCAGAGATCCATCTATTGCTGCCATCAAATCCAAGTGCTGGGATTAAAGGCATGAGCCACCAGGCCTGGCCTAAGCAGATTCTTACTGAAACATCTTACTTAAAAAACATGAAAAGTTCAGATCAAAAGGCCATGCTGTAAAATAAAATTTCTGAAAGCAGAGAGGAAGGGGGGCATTTGAAGATTAAAGGTTTTTGACTAGATTTTTTTTTCTCCCAAGAGACATTCAAAAACTCTGCTAGAATAGAACCTAACACAACCAGAAATAAATAAATAAATAAGCAAACCAAAATGTCAATGAAATGATTCCTAATGATACTCTGTTATACTTCTAGAGCAGAACTAGCATAATCATCAGAGAGTCTTCATCCAGCAACTGATGGGAGCAGATGCAGAGACCCAGAGCCAAACGAATGCAGAGCTCAGAGAATCCTGTGGAGGAGGAGGAAGAAAGATCGTAGGAGCTGGAGAGGTGAAGGAGGCCACAAGAACACTGCCTGCAGAACAACCAACCTGGGCACCTGTATGGGTCTGATGTAGGCTTTCTGCATATATGTTACAGATGTGTGTCTTGGTGTTCTTGTAGGACTCCTAACAGGGGGAACAGGGGCTGTCTCTGACTCTTTTGCCTCATTTTGGGACCCCTTTTTTCCAACTGGTTGCTTCATTCATCCTTGATACGAGGAGAGGTGCCTAGTCTTATTGTAATTTGTTATGCCATGTTTGGTTGATATCTCTGAGAGGTCTGACATCTGAAGGGAAACAGGAGTGGAGAAGAGGAGGTGGGAGGAAGGAAGAAGGGGAAACTTGGTCAGGATGTAATATATTTGAGAAGAATTTTAAAGTCTATTCTGTCGGGTAGGACACCACTATTGATGGTCCGTGAAAGAAGTGTACACGGCACAAAATACACAAAACCCAGGTGACACACTTAAAAATGCTGGACCTGGGGTGGAAGCCAGAGCGCTTGCTATTCTCTCAAAGGACACCTGTTTGGTTCCCAGCACCCTCAGACACCAGTCGGGGATCTGCTGCTCCCTCTGGCCTCTGAGGGCATCTGCACTCACTTGCATACACACACTCATATATAATTTAAAGAAAACTTTTACAAACAATTGGTATCTCTGTATGCTCAGTAACCAGAGGAGGAGGGACTGGGGTAGCAAATGAATTCCCACCACTGTGCTTAAGACATTCTTCAAAGCATTGGGAAATCCCTTAGAGGTAGGAGGTGGCACAGTGTAGGTGCTTCCTGAGCATCCAGACGGCCCTGAGTAAAAACTTTGGATGCCACCACCAAAGAGAAGGAAGAAAAGTCCTTTGAACAAGAAATGTTAGTCTAATGGAGTGGTTTTCACCCTTTATGTGTGTTTCTCTCTCTGTGTGTGTGTGTGTGTGTGTGTGTGTGTGTGCGCGCGCGCTCGCGCATGTCCATGCATGCATGCTCATGTTGATTTTGAGATAGGGTCTCAGTGTAAAGTCCTGACTATCCTGGAACTCACTATTTAGACCTGATGGCACTTGAACTCACAGAGATAACCTGCCTCTGTCTCTACTCCCTACTACTGGAATTCTAAGGTGTGTGCCACCTCACCCAGATGCTGTTTTTTTTATTTTGTTTTGTTTTTTAAAGACCAACAACAAAAACCCAGGGTCTCATACATCAGTAGGCAAAACTCTGGAGTTGCCAGATCTCACTTTGGGGCCCAGGTTGACCTCAAACTCACATCAATCCTTCTGGTTCAGCACCCCTATCACCCAGCCACCACCGAGTGCTGGATTGACAGGTATGTGCCACCAGGTCTGGCCTAGTCTATGAATGATATGATTTGATTTTCTTCTGGATCGAGGAGTTAGACAGATGAAGCCTTGGAACTGCTCTTGGTTGTGCATTCAGTCAGAGGGGCAGCCATGAAGTTTATAGGGCAAGATGAACCGGGCTACTGTGAGGTTTCTGAAGGATGGGGGCGGGGGGCAGGGGACACTAACTAGCTACATGTCAATTCCTGTTCTCCTCTGGTTTTGCTTGTAGCACAATGAGCTCCTAGGACAGAATCTGATAACATGAAAACACGGAAGCATGTCTGAGCTTACTTCCTGAAGGACCACACAACCTACTCTATGTGCTCATCAAGAACGCGGCAAAGAACAATCAGGCTGGCCTCGAAACCAAGGGATGTTCCTGCCTCTCCACCCATCCAGTGCTAGGATTACACGTGTGCACCAACCAAATGTTCTTATCGTTCCCATGAATAGACCTGTATTTTTGTTTAACGATACTCGGGATGACAATAAGTGCCTACACCTCACCACAGTGCTTTAGGGCTGACCAATACAGCTCTCTTTGAGACAGGGTCAGGATAAACTGTCCAAGTTGGCCTTGAATGTTTCAGCCTCGTCCCAGTCTCCAGGGAAGGTGGGAGACAGAGCTGTGCCACCAGGCAGAGCTTTGAATTTGTGTTTCTTGTCCCAGTTTCTCGAATTTGAAGTGGAAGAAAGGACCGAACACAATTCTAAAGGATATCTAGTCTCCATTTGCCTTAGAAAAAAATCAACATTCAAAGAAAAAGCCTATAATGGTGACCCACACCTATAATCCCAGTAGTCAAGAGGTAGAGACAGGGGTATTGGGAGTTCAGTGCCTCAAGAGCTCCCCAGTTTCAACCCTGCCCACCTTACCGTAGCTGAACTTCTCTCTGACTGCCAAGCAAGCACAAAGTCTAAGAATCTCACATATGCTTTAAAAAGTCTCTGTGTGGGTAACTGCAAGGAGAGGCAGGAGCAACGATGCCCAACGTTCTCTCCCTACTGTTTCATTTCTTTAAACAAACACGACTAATACTGCGGCTTACTGTTTCATTTCTTTAAACAAACACGACTAATACTGCGGCTGGAGAGATGGCTCAGCGGTGAAGAGCACTGGCTGCTCCTCCAGAGGACCTGGGTTCAGTTCCTAGCAACCACATGGGGGATCACAGCCATCTGATGTTCTCCGGCCTCTGCAGGCACTGCATGCATGTGCTACACATATGCTCATGTAAGCAAAACACTTGCATAAATAAAACAGAAATAAATAAAAATTTTAAGATGATTCTTCTCTATGGTCTTTTCTCACAGCTTCTCCTGAATGTTTTTCATGGGATAAAGGCTACTGATCATGATGGCAGAGACATTATGATCTCCTTGTTTTAAGGACATAAATTACCAGAGGCCAATGCTAAATTATAAGATGTCATAATGTTATATATTTGCATACACATAACACTGAAAAAGAATAGAAATAAAACATTTTAATTATATATTTATTCCAGGCATTCAAAAATATGAGCCAATTGCCTCAATACTAACTTTGGAAGTCAGAAAAAAAAAATTTTTTTTTTTGGTTTTTGTGTTGGTTTGTTTGTCTGTAAAGGAAATGTAAGTTTCAAAATCCTTAATTAAAATTAAACTCAGTGACTTGCACGGCCCATGCCTTTAATTTCATTATTTAGGAATCAGAGACAGGTGGGTTTCTGTGAGTTCCTAGTCTACATACTGAGTTCAGACAAAGAACAAATTACATTAAAATTAAACAAAATTCAGTTCCTGCGACTCAGCAGCTGGGTGTCCTGGCCACTTTACTTAACCCATTACACAGTGTCCTCGTGTGTATAATGAGGACAACGACAATAGTTCCAGCAGAGGATCAAGGATAAACCAGAAAAGGGACCTGGCAGGTGGTGCTTTCTCCAAACACAGCCAAGGCCGGCCGTGCCCACCCAGGAGGCAGAGAGGGTAGTCTGTCTTCACAACCTTTGAAAACTTCTAGATTTAGCCCACACCTCGGTTAAGGCTTTCTGGAGACGGGGGTGGGGTAGTAGTTTGGGACGCACAGCACATCTACTATGAATGCATGCCAGAAAAAAAAAAAATCCGTGGGCGTCTCAGAAGCGAAGCAGTTAGATAAGAAATCATGCAGGCTGTAGTATGCAATAAGTAAATAAATAAATAAATAAATAAATAAATAAATAAATAAATAAATAAAAGGCACTTGTCCATGCTTGTCTATAATTGTATAAATCCGCTTACGAGCGTGCATTATAATACTTGCACACCGGTTGCCCCATCAGACCCAGCTCCAAGCTGTGTGTGGAGGGGCGGGAGGCAATGGCCCAGAAGAGTGCAGGAAGTGCCTGCCCCTGTGTGAATGGGACCCAGCGCAGGTGAATGTGCAAATAGGGACACGTGCATGCGTGTGTACCCCAGTGCCAGGCATGGGGCTGAGGCTGTGGGCGGGCCCTGTCCACCCTCGGGGCTGTAGTCTGTGTGGCCGTTCCGCGCCCCGCCCCCTCCACAGCGCTGGGCCCCCACGCGCCCCATTTCCGACCCCGCGGCCCGTACCCCTTGCTGCTGCTTCCGCTCGGGGGGCTTCACTCTAGCGAAAATCTGGATCGTCTGCTTCATCATCACCAACAGAAACGCCGCACTGACCCTTGACCTTTCCAAGTTAGGCCTACCCAAAACTTCCTACTCCCACCTCGTACTGAGACCCGCTGCCCTAGCAACAGTAACCAAGGATGCTACCCAAGAAGCACTGCGGCCAGCGGGATCCCGCCTCCTCTACCCTAATTGGTCATGAGCTAAGAGGCAGGATTAGGGGCGGGACGGGGGGGGGGGATATGTGCTGCGCATGTGTGTGGGAGATGCTCTTGGGACTTGGGTCAAAGAGTTTTCGACCCCCTAGTCTGGCCCCTTTCCTAATAGCTTCTTCCTCATTCCTTAACTCCTTTAAGTCTCTCTGAAGTCAGCCTGCCGTTTATCACGCACTGAAGAAAAGGCCTTTTTTGGTTGCAACTCCCAAGCTGCTCTAATTCACTTGGAAATCATTGTGCGACAAAGCAGGTTCTCAACAGAAAATCACAACCCAAGGGGAAGGGCGGAGCCGAGTTCCCTGTGAAGAGAAGGCTTCCCATGTGAACCTTCTGGAAATGATAAGCTCCTGGAAGACACCCTCTGAAAACTTGTCCAAACTCCACTCACCAGGAAAATGCAAATTAAAACCAAGCTGCAACGGGCTTAGATAGATGTCCCTGTGTTACCAGGTGCCAAGGAAGATGGAGAGATTAATCGGTGGCTCCCTGAGAAGATGGGTACTGTAGAATGGTGCAGTCACGCTGAAAAAGAAAGTTTGCCCGTTTTTGTTGACGTTTTACACAGGATCTCACTGTGCAACCTATAATGGCCTCCACCTCACCATTTTTTCCCCTCAGAAGCCCAAGTTCTGAGTGCACCTCCATTTCCACCTTCCATTTGTGTGGTTTTTGTTTTCCCAGAAAACGGAAGGTGCAGCTATTTTGAGACCCACCAGCTGCACTTTGGGAATATTTATCTTAGAGGAATGAAAACTGTGTTCACAAGAAAATCTGTGTGCATTTGCTGAATTGGTAATAGACCAATAGACATCTGCAGGCAAGGCAGACGTCCTGTGGCTGGTGAGCAGTTAGGCAAACTTAGAATACCGTCTTCAAAGGAATGAACCATTCCTTTGTAACATATGTAACAACCTGAATGAACCCCCTGAATTAAAAAAAAAAAAACAAGTTAAATACTGTACATGAGTTCCTTTATATAATATTCTTGAAATGACAAAATTCCAGAGATGGGGCCATTAGATGTGACAGGGATGCCGAGAAGACAAGAGAAGAGAATAAACATATAGAAAGCCTGTCAGTCAAGTGAGAATGAACCAAGTTGATGATGTTCTCAGGGTGGGTGTTCTGGTCTCGGTGTTGAGCTATATGGTTCTACAAGACGTTTCTGCTGTAGGAAACTGGGATACGGGCGGGATACGGGCACACAATTATCTCTACTATGTTCACAAGTGTGAATCTACAATTCCAAAATAAATAGCTTTTAAAATCACATTCTTGAGCAAATGAATAAATAGGCCAACCATAGGTTGAGAACTTTTATTTTCAAAACATAGCTAGCTAATAAACGATGCCTACAATACATTTTTACATTCACTTTCAAATCCAATCATAGACAGCAAATAACTCAGTCAGAGAGCATAGTTCAGTGACAGAGAACTTGCATAGCATGTGAAAGGTTGTGGGTTCAAGTCCCAGCATCCCAAGGAAAAAAATAATCCAATTTGGGGTTCTGGAAAGAAGACTCAGTGGTTAAGATCGATGCTACCAGCTCCCAAGGACTGGAGTTTGATTCCCAACACCCATGTCTGATAGTTCACAACTACCTGTAACGCTGGCTCCCTAGAATCTGGCGCCCTCTTCTGACCTCTGTAGGTACTCTCACATACAAGCGCATACACATAAATAAATAGATCTTTTTTAATTCAAAGTTTAAAAAGGTGGCACAAACATTTGAGGAAACAATTCATTTATGAAAAAGATTATGTGGCTGTTAAATAAATACATAGAAAGGATAGTGGATGTTATTAAAGTCACAATGGTATACCACTGTACGCCTCTTACATGGATAAGGAAAGGATGTTGACAGTACCAAGTGTTGGCAGAAATCCAGAGTATCTAGAACTTCCAAGCTCGGCAGTAAGACAAGAAGATGTACACATCACTTTCAAAAGCAGACTTAGAGTTTCTAATAAAGTTAAGCTTACCTGTGTCATATGGTCCAAAACAAAAGCACAGACATCTAGACAGAAGTGTTCAGGGCAACTTCATTCGTAATTGCCAAAACCTGGAAACAAAATCATTGGGCCAACAGATAAACAGCTAGTGCAATCCAAACAGTGAAAGAGTGGGCTATAAGTCCTGTAACATGGCTAAGTCTTCAATTGGTTATGCCCAGTGAAGAGTGTCAGCACCCTTAGTTACGAGCAATCTAATTTCATTCATATGATATCTTAGATAAAGGAAAACGTTAGAACACAAAACAGGTGAATAGCTTTCAAAGGCTGGGATAGGATGTGGAATTGACTGCAAAGGAGCATGGGGGGCCCTGGGGTGCAGGAATAGAAAACACCTTTGCATGTGTCTATGAGGGGTTCTGCAAGGTTTAGTTGAAGATCTCTCTGAATGCAGGCAGCACGATCCCTTAGACAGTGATCAGATCCCAGACTGAAAGGAAATGAAGAAGGAACCGAGCTGAAAGTTAGCGTTCGCTTGGTCTTCTTCCTGATCTTCTGAAATGTGAGCAATCAGCCTCACCTCTTCTGCCACCACAGTTAGGACCTGTTCCCATAGCTGAGCCTTTACCACCATGATGGACTCAAACCATGCACCTAAATAAAGTGTTCTGCAAGCTGATTCTTGCCAAGTATTTGGTCAAGGCACAAGAAAAGTGATGAATAAAACCTGCATGTGTGCATATGTGTGTGCATGTATGTGTGTGTATGTAAATGCATGTGAAAACCATGTGGCAACCTTGACTATTATTCCTCAGGTGCCAATCACCTTGGCTTTTGAGACAGAGTCTCTCACTGGCCTAGAAATTAACAAGTAGCCTAGGATGGCTGGCCAGTGAGTCCCAGACTCCCGCAGACCTCAGCCTCCCCTGCTTTGGGATTATAAGCACATGCTACCACCCCAAACCTTTTCTTCTGTATGTTCTGGGGCTAGAACTCAGGACCTAACGCATGTGCAGCCACCACTTTACCAACTAAACTATGTCCTAGTCCTGCGAATACGGTCTTCTAAAGAGTCATTCAACTGCTCATAGGGCACACACAGAGATTGCAAGCTCTGCCCCTCCTGGGGCCATACTTGGGATGGATAGACTTTAAGTAGGCAGATAAAGACAGAAGGCATGTGTTGGAACCCAGAAACTAGAGCATCTCTAGCTAAAAGCATTTACAGTCCAGATGGTTAATACACAATGTTGCCTGAAGACACCCTATGCATGGCCAGCAGTTCAGACCTGTTCCCGTTTAGGGCATAAGTGACTTGCGGGCCTTGCCTCGGACCACGTTCCTTTAATCCCCAGCAGATGGTCATAATGGGCACACACGGGGTTTTGTGATTAAATCTCCTAATTCCTTGTCTTTCCCCCCAACTGAATTTCTACTCAGTATTCGTATTTGTACCTTGCCTTGTTTAGATGTAGTTGAAATGCTATTTAAATTTTAAAGGACCCTTGAGTTCTGTAGTTGCCCACATCACAGATGGCTGCACCAAGCCAATGAACTGGGCTTCTCTGCCCTAAAATGTGTAAGAATTAAGCTGAGTCTGCAGCAAATTAGTGCGTAGGCAAGCTGGCTGGGCTCTATCTGCCGCTGGTCTTGCTTTGTTTTCTAGAAGTTTCAGCTCTGGTGCTGGTTCCAGCTAGCTCTGGGAACCACTGGTTCTCCCGTTGTAAAACGCATCTCTTTAGTTTACATATCTCAGGAGACACCAGTTTAAAAAAAAATGTAGGCTAGTAATTTTGACATAGACTATGTACAGACAGTTACCAAATTGCATTAAACTTTCTCCCCTCTTAATTTCAGTTTATGGCTTGAGAATTTCATACAGGCATTTATTGTATTTTGATTAAATCTACCTCCTACTTTCTCCCCTCCAACTCTTCCCACACCCCTCACCTCTTTTCCCTCCCAACTTCATGTAATCTTTCTGTTTGTTTGTTTGTTGTTTTTAAAGCCACCAGGTCTTCTTAGTGGACCAAGTCTGTGCATGGGTGTAGGACCACCCCTAGAACACAGGCAGCCTGGCAGGGGCTGTCCCTCAGGAGAGCTGACTGTCCTGCCCACAGTAGCCATCGGTTGTCATTAGCTCCCCTGTTCACCACGGGATTTCTTAAGTCCCACGTCCCACCTCATGTTGGAATTTGGCTGACTTGACACAAGGAATGACACAAAACACTAGGGTTCTGGGCATGGCGGGGTCATTGCACACGTGACCTCACAGACGCTGGATGCTTCCCTTGTCTAGAAATCTCTTCATGACCACCCTACTGTTCACACCGTATCCGGTGAACACAGGGATGGTTTCTCTAGCCCTGTCCCCGTTCTCCTGTTCATAACCTCCTCCACAAAGCAAGGCCAACAATGAAAGTCTCCTGCCAATTAGTAGATAATACTTAGTAGTATTAATGAGACAGCAGTCATTCAACACGAATTGCCTTGCTAACTGTGACTAACTTAGACTAACAGGCACTGCACAGGCCATGAGTGCGCCGGATAAACCTTGGCAGGCAGGAAGGAAAGATGCAGAAGTCACAGCAGGTAGAGGAGGACACCTTCATTAGAAATCTCCTCAAAGTTCAGCTTCACCCATTCATCTTGTGGGTGGTCAGGAGGGACCCTTCCCATTCCCAGTCTCAATGGGGCTTTTGCCCATTGTTTCTAAGCGAATAGAAGATACACACAGCAATTTCTGGTACTCATTAAATGCTGAATAATAAACATGCTTTTATACTGCAGAGCAGGGGCACCACAAAATCTGTACTATATCATTTCAGCAAAGAAATTTCTTTTGAGAATGTGTTCAGCTAATTTAAAGCACAATTTCATTAACATAACCATATTTCCAAACACAGCAGAGTGAAATAATAAAACTTCACCCACAGTCTAGATTTATAGGGTGCTGTGGGAA